TCGATGTAACACTAATGTCCTTGGCTGACAAGCGAGAGTTTCTTGAAAGCAGATGAATATCTTTTGACTGAAGTGCATGTAGGATTTATTATCATTCTCCCTGTTTCTGCTTTTTGTGCCTCGTGCCTCTGGTTTCTAGACGTGGGATCCGTTTTCAGAGCTGGCTCTTCTCTTTTGCAGGTCTAGTGTACCAAATGGGCAGCCCAAATGGCTTCTGTCTTTCATACCGGGCTACCCGATGCTTAACTTCATGCTAACGACATCAATCTATCTTTTGGTAAGCCTACCAATCTCGGACGCATTCCACAAAACCGAATCATCAAACATACTAACTCCATGCTCACTCAATGCTGCAGCTATCATACCGGGTATTTGAGATCACAAACGTGCTGAGGGCAGCCTTCATTCCCAGCAGAGACAACAACCGCCTGTACCAGAATTTCGTTGCGGGGGTTGCCATCTCCGTATGTCTGTATTGCTGCTCGCTCGTTCTTCTAAAAATTCCGGCTGTATAGGTAAAGCGCAGGACCCTACTCTATATATACCTAACGTTTTTCAGAAATCACCACTCGTTTATCTTCGAGCATTTTGTACTTACTTTGTCATGTAATTGCAGATGAATAGTTCGTATGGATGTAGAATTGCCAAGTAAATGATACCGGTGGAAGGCTGGCTGCTTCTTCCACGCGCACAAAAGAGGTTCGCTTGGCGGGGATGCTCGGTTCCATTCAGGGGATCCCCTAAGAAGCTGCCCTTGGGAACCTGATCGCCGTGGAGGGAGACGCAAATTTTTGATCATCTTTTTTCTTGTTGTAAAAGCCAACCCATTCTTCTGGGAGTTGTAACAGCTGTCAACCGTGTAACTGTCAACTTTGGTGTGCACATTGTTGTTTTGTAACATGTCTTAGATATATTCTTTCTATACATACAAGGAAAGCGTTTCCCTCCTGTAAAAAAGAAATAGTGAGTTGAACTGTGAAGCATACCTTGTCGTGCTCCGAATTATTTCTGAGCTATTTCGAGAAGGGCCAGCGGGGGAAGGGCTCCATGGAGCCTGACACTCAAATACCATTTATGCCTTGCAAAAAAAAAAAACCTAAAAAAACCTGAAAAATTGTGCTTCTCTGCTTTAGGGAAAAGTGCTTCTACGTGAAGCATAGTTATGCTTCCGCATAAAACACAATATGTACTTCTGTGCTTTTCACAAATAAACGAAGCACAAATTTCCGTGGTCTTTTTTTATTTCCTTTTTGTTTGGTTTCTTGTTTTCTTTCAGGTTTTTGATGTTTTCAGCTACTTTTTTTTATCTCAAGTTTTTTTTTGTTCTGTTTTTTCTGATTTCTACTTTTTGGGTATGTCCCTCCTCATCCACCCTAGTCTCGGGCCCTACTAAGAAGCTACTCCAATTTGATAGTCTTGTACTCTAGAAACATCTATCGAGTTATTTTGTAGATTATAAAATTTAAAAGACTATATCAAATATTATTGATATTTATGGATACTATGAACAAGGACATATATAACTGCACCAAAATACTTGAAGGCTTAACTAATGCAACAGTTTCTTGGACCTATGGTGGAGCCATTTAAAGAGAAGCAATATTATATCCAAATTAAATCAATGAAATAAAAATGCAAGAAAGTTTCATTTTAGTCTAGCACAACAAAAATGCATAATGAATAAACATTTTATTATATATGGACGTGATCACTTATCCATTATGCTACTCCCTCCGATCCATATTAATTGTCGCCCATTTAATTAGTACAAAGTTGTACTAAAGTAGCAACAATTATTATGGATCGAAGGGTAGTTATATTTAAGAGTGCTACTAAGATAATACATTATAAGATGCATCAACAAAATGACATATATTTAGTGACAATATTAGTTATGTCAAAGTTAAAAGTTCAGTATGAAGAGCGACAATACAGAGCATTTGTAGCTAACTTATTTCCACACAAAATTTTGAATTTCTTTTCGCCCATTAAGGGCATTTTTAATCAAATGTTATATTTTTCTATACAAGGCGCAAGTGAAAGTCAATACATGCCAACGATAACAAGGTCTTACATAAAGTTTAAGCTAACTAAACCTTCCACTGGGCTGACATTGAACCAATTCTACGGAACAAAAGGTGAATCCCAGAAGTACAAGATGTATCATAAATGGAAACTAGTCATGAAGAGTCGCTCCTATGTATAGTGGAGGCGTCTGATCTCGAGCAGAACTCCGGATGCAACTTCATAGTCCTTCGTCTTCCCTAGAGGGCATCACAACTAAAAGAAAAATAATACCATTTGGAATATAATTGGTTGGGTGAGCAGGCAACTGTCCTTCAATAGCTATTTCATTTGCAGTCGTCCAAAAGCACCCTAGCTAAGGCCGCAAATGACTGTGCTAAGGCCGCAAATGACCGCTAAGCCAACCTATATGTTGCTGGCCTCTCATGGAGCGCAAGAAAGACAACTGTCCGGCCATGGAATTCGGAGCCCAAGAGGCACCAAAGGGCTCCCTGACGCAAATCTAGAGGAATTTTACAGGAGAACATTGAAAAGAATGTGCTTGGCGTCTTCTGGGTTACCGCATAGGGCACAATAACTATTCCTCAGACCAAGACGATTTCTGAAGATTAATCATAGATGGGAGGCAGTCAAGCGAAGCTTGGCATAGGAAAATACAAACTTTAAGTGGAACTCTCGTCGCCCGTAGGGCATATCTCACCCTAGGGCCCTATACCTGACATAGAGAGATTTGACCGGGAACACAACCGATGCCTCTAGGTCCCTCCTAGCACAACCCCTTTCCGCAAAAAAGCGAAGCTCCTTCAACCAACGTTTGCAAATCTTCCCATGCAGCAAGCTCAGGAGTGGATAGAGGTTGCACATAAACACCAAGTTGGTCTCATCGTTGACGAAAACTTCATTGACAAGGATCTCGGGCACGTAAGCAATGACAAAGAGCTCACGGAATTTATCGCATAGAGGTTTGTCATCGATCCACCTAGACAACTAGAATTTAGTATCCTTCCCATTCCCTACGGCGAAAGAGCATTCAAGTTAAAATTTGGGTGTATTTCTAAATCTCATTCCAAGAATGGGAGCCCTTGGCTTTAGACTCGAAGAATGAGCCGTTCGGAAAATATTTGTCTTTAAGAAGACGCCCAAAGGCTTTCGCTGGCATGAGCAATTTTCCAGATCCACTTGGTCACTTGTGCTAAATTCATTTTATTGGTGTTGGTGATGCCTAGACCTACCTAGTTTTTGGGTTTACAAATGTCAGCCCATTTGAGCATGTGATATTTGCACCTAGCCACATCTCTCTCCCATAAGAACCGAGCTCTAACTTTGTCAAGCGCGGAACCCCTCCTTTTTGGTTACAAATGTCAGTCCATCTGACCATGTAATATTTGCGCTTAGCTGCATCGGCCTCCCAAAAGAATTGAGCGCTAACTTTGTCAAATTGTGCATTGTACCCCATCCTTGAGAATGAAGAAGCCCATCGCAAATGTAGAGATCGCGGATAAGCAAGCACTGATGAGAGTTAGCCCGAGAACATGAATTTTCCTTGCCAAGGGTCCACTCACCCGATGACTTTGCTAATCGTGGGATCCCTATCCGACACCATGAATTACTCATCCGGGCACTGAAGATCAAATGTTACATCAAGTTGATACAACCACAATGAGTGAATACCCGATCTATGCATAACAAGATGCACACAACCAACAAGTCAAAAAAATCATAAAAGAAAACATCATTTTACAACAATAGAAAATAAAGTGCCATATGGCATATGATGTCGTATACGAAAACATAGACCGTCATTCATGATGGAAGAAAACTCCCAGTACGTATGCTCGAACCGAGTAAACGCCTTCATAAAAAAAATTCGGGTCCTCCGGCCTCTGCAAGATAGCTTAAGTATGGAGCCAATGGGCTACATGCATGAAGAACGTACACTGGAGATTAAAAATCACTTTATAAAAATATACAACAAATAATTCCTGAAATGTTACCGCCGCTTGGGGATTTGTGAAGAATTATTTTATCAACACCCCTCAACCAGTTGTCAAAATATTACCGAAAATATATCGACTACAATATAGTCGATGACTCAACGCATGTGGCAAGTGGAGGGTTGGGGTACCGACCAAGACACATGGGACGAGTAGTCCAAAATGACGAAATGGAGCCCATGCAATCATGCTAATCAACTGGATATACTACATTACATGCATACTCCTATATCACAAGCTTTGTTTGGAGATGTACTCCAGCCCTTTAAGTGGACGTAATTTTCTAAAAAAAAAAAGCTTTGCTTGAGCAAACTTGATTAAAGAAACCTTGCGGGCAATCATGCTCGATGGCCCTTTGTATAACGGTGCCCTAATTACGAGCATGAGAATCCTATTGAGACTCTCGCTGAGGAGTGAGGACTAGTCACCGGATAGACAAGTTCGTGGTCGAGCTTAGGCGTGATGCAATGGCCGGTAGTTTATGTGATGCCGCAGCCACCGGTCCAGATACTCCACTCGACTGAGCTACGTACTTGTCTGTACAACGTAAACCAGAGGCCCACCGTCAATTTAGCCTGGACACATACATGTACTCCTACAACAAGACCAAGATTTTTGCCACGAACCGGGGGGATCGACACGGACAGATTAATTCTGACATCGATCGGCTGCCGGATGCACACCAGCAGAAAAATCTGACGAGCAGAGCAGGTTCGAGAGAAGAAGAACCTGACACAGAACCGAGTCACGTCAATCATGTAGGACTTTTATCAACAAAATAAATAAATACAGTAAAATAAATCATTTAGGCCGATCCGTTGGGACGTTAGCTGAAAAAATTCGCCTTTAAATAGCGCGCCAAAGCTCGCATTATTGCCACGGCCCAATAATCAATCCCAACCTCCACTGCCTCCATAGCTGGCTGCAGCCTAGCTTAGCTCCTGCTCTGCTCTGCTGTCTCCGCCGGCCGGTCAGTAACCGATGGAAGCCCCGCTGCTCCTCCCCGTCTCCACGGCCGCCTCCTCCTCCACGTCCATCACCGTCGACGATGACAGCCACTGCGCGGCCCAGAACGTCTCCCCGTCCCGCGCCTCGCCTTCCGCCCGGAGCATCGCCGCGCGCTACCTGGCCGTGGCCCTCGTCGCCGCCGTCTCGCTGTTCTCGCAGCACGAGGCGTCCAAGGGCTTTCGCATCGACGTCATCCGAGGCGGTGGCACGGCCGATGCCGCCGGCAAGCGCTTCGACCTCCTCTTCGTTGCCAACGGCCGCGCCGAGCGCGTGCTCCACCGCGCCAGCCGCCGCGTCGAGGAGGCGCTCTTCCCGGACCCCTCGTTCCCGCGGCGCCGGGTCGCCCGCGTCACCGTGCGGCTGATGGCCGGCGGCAACCTCACCGCTGACGACGCGGCCGTCGACGCTGTCACGGATGGGGAGTACGTCATCTCGCTGAGCCCACGCCTCCTGTCGCCGTCCTCCGGCGGCGGCAGCAGCGCCGGGGCCGCCGACGCCGTCGCCGCCACGGTGCGCCGCGCCGTGGCGCGCATGTGGCTGTGGGACGGCCGGGGCGCCGCGCCGGCGCGCGTCACGGAGTCCATGGTGGAGTACCTCGCCACCGCCGTCCCGGCCGAGTCGTGGCCGCCGGCGGAGGAGCACACGTCGGCGTCGAACACGCACTGCATCTCGCCGCGGTTCCTGAAGCACCTGGAGCGGCGGCGCGCGGGGTTCGTGGCGCGGCTGAACAGGGCAATGAGGGACCGGTGGAGCGACGCCGCGGTGGACGCCGCGCTCGGGGCGCCGGCCCGGCCCGTCTGCGCCGCCTACCTCGCGGCGGCGACGGAAACCGGCGGCCAACGACCGGTGGTTGGCTCCGCGGTGGCGGTTTGAGAGCCAGCAAGGCGTCGGAACAGCGCACGAAGGGCGGTTTGCGAGAGATCGCACATGCACGCCGTGCTTGTCACGTGACTCGGTCGGTCACTCCCTTGTACGTAAATGTAATTCATCCGCCATTATCGGTGAGTGGTTAATTAAGTAATGGGATGAGACGAGTCAGCGGTCGCTACTGCTACAAATGAAGTTTTTAGGGGAACTACAAATGTAGTTAAGCACAAGCCTTCTTTGTAAATCCACAGTAGTTCTTCATGTTTGTGTGGTGGAATATATGGCGATCTCAAATAATTGTAGAACGCTCAAGAGAAAACAAGCCGACCATTCTATCGATCACTTTTGATTTATGGTCTTTCTAGTTCTAGGTTTTTGGTCCCTTATAATCGATAGTGTTTATTCCCCAGAAACTTAATAGATCTCATAATAGGGTTACAGATTGTCTGGAAAGGTTTGGCAGAGGACCTCCATGTATTGAGGCTCTCTTGCTGGAAGATTGTAACACTATCTTAATGGAATAAACTACTATTTATCTCACAAAAAAGTAGAACACCTTTTCAACCATTCAGCATGAATGGTGAGCTATCTCAAAACAATGAACAAAAAAAAGTAGAACATCTTCTCAAACGTTTTCTATGGAAAAAGTAGAGATTTAAATGTTTATGAAAAAAATTCATATTCAAGTTGATTTGTAGTGTTGAATCCTAGGGGATTGTTCTAATGGTTTTTCTGTTTTATATTCCACAAAAATTCCTATTCCGGAAAAGGGAAAAAAAATACTTTCCATGCTCTCAAATCTCTCACAAAGAATCTTTTCGCTAAAATTTTGTACTCCCTGCATTCCTAAATATAAGTCTTTTTAGAGATTCCAATAAGGGACTACGTACGGAGCAAAATGAGATTCCAATAAGTCATGAGATACTGTACATTGTGAAGGAACCGAAATCCCTTGAGTGTGCCTTACACGATAAATTCGTGGCTGAGTGCATGATTGCAAAGTCCCTCCTTCATGGAGGAATTTCTCCACTACTCCGAAACATAAGAAACAAGAGATATTAGTTGAAGATGTTGAGCAGAAAGCTCGGGCTAAAGACACTACTGAGAAAGGAGGCCATGTTCAACCTACCGCCAATATGGTGCAGAGGTACCCAGATAATAAGAACAGGGCCGGGCCGGTAAAATCCGGGGCCCTGTGCGAAACTAAAAAATGGGGCCCTTTAAAAAAACTGAACTAGAGCAATTATAATGTATATATAACTCACAAAAAAAATTTATAATGTCATAATGATAAAGAAGATGACTCAAATCTGTATTATTGAAACACAAGATAAAGAAGATGAATAAAACAAAATAAAATTTATATGGTAGCATCTATCAATTGAAGATCATGTGTCAATGTTTGGCAATTAGACGAACTGTCTAACTCACCAAATTTTTGGTCTTGTGATCCTTAACTGAGGAGGTAAGAACCAATCTCTACGAAGTAAAGGTCCCTGTCAATAATTAATTACAAAATTAGGAATTAGGAGTAGGAATCAAAGTTAATTGAAAAGATGGACTCGCTAAGCACCTCAAGGCTAGAGTCGGTCACCGATCAATCCGACAAGACGATGTCCGACGAGTCTGAAAATTGAGAAAGGACGAGTCTGAAAATTGAGAAAGGACGCCAGGAAGGCAACGACGGCACCGCGACAGCGGCCTATCGCTAAGTTAGCCTGAATCCGAATTCCGATCGATCTAAGGACCACAGAGGCTGGGACCAAGGCAGAGCCACCGAGGGACGAGGCGTAGACGTCAAGCGCTCCAGACATGGAGGACTCGAGGGCTCCAGGCGAGGAGTGGATGCGACGTTCTTTTCCTGTAGCGTAGCCACGATCCCGATCCCTGACTCCCTGTAGCGATCTAGTTTTTTTATGGATAATGTAGCGATCGACTCATCGAGTAGGAGGAGTCCAGGATCGCGCTTGATGACTGGTCGCTCTCGCTCGATGGCCGATGAGCCTAGTCGTTCGGCCCAGTAGGCAGTAGCGCTTAATTATTGCTAGACATATATAAAAAAATATGGGGCCCCTCAGAATTTTGGGCCCTGTGCGGGCCGCACTTTCTGGACCACTGTTGGCCCGGCCCTGAATAAGAACAAAGGAAAGAACAAGCCTGTCAAGACTACTACTTTTAAGAAGAAGAAGAAGTTGGACAAGGCTGATCTAGACTACTACGTTTGTGGGAAGCCCGGACACTTTTTCAAGGAATGCCTAGAACATGCAGGTCGCTAAGGGAAAACAGGCTCCAAGAAGGTCAACATTGTGATCGCTAGCAATACCGATGGGTATGGTAATTTACCTATTATTTTTTCAGTATTTCAATCATCATCTTGGTGAGGATTGATTCGGTTGCTAACCATCACGTGTGTGCTGACTTATCTTTGTCACTTCTTATCAGGTTGCACGGGATTCTTCCATCCTAATGAGGAATGTGTCGGATGCTTCTGTTCGTGGCTTTGTCATGGTGGATCTAAAGTTCACTTCGGAGAGGATCGTGCAGCTAAGGAACGTGCAACATGTCTCTACTATGAACTAGAATCTAGTTAGCGGCTCCCTTCTATCAAGATAAATTTATTTTAGTTTGGAGCCGAATAAAGTAATTGTGTCGAGATATGGACATTTTATTGGATATATCCTATAAAAGGCTCAGTTGATGATGATGGCGTGTCTACTACCCGTCATTTCTGACCATTAGATCTGCATCTAATGACTGTGAGGTAAGTTGTGGTCTTTTTGCAACAATAGCCCATTTCTCTGCTCCAATTTGCAGAAAATCACTTAGTATCTTGAAACCAACCACGTCCAGCCCTTACCTCATCAAAATAGGCCGAGGAATATATTTTAAATGAAACATAATATATTTTTAGTGACATATGTATATCAAAATTATAGTGTAGATTCATTCATTTTTGCTCCGTATGAAGTTCATATTGAAATCCCTAAAAAGACTTATATTTAGAACAGAGAGAGTATCATTCATGGAGCGTGTGCCATAATCCCATAATCAAACCTCTAGCCATAGTGGGAGGCGGTCGCTCTCACCACCTTTTCTTATGCCATTATTGGTAGTCAAACGATTGCTTGTACTCCATAACCAAAAAGGATCATGTTGAGTTGTTTGACGTTACTAGTAGTTCGTCTAGAATACGGAAGTATGTACATGGTGACCTAGAATCGTTCAGAGAAGTCGTCCGAATGGTTTTGACTTCACTTCCACAATCATCAAAGAAACATCCGTGGCGAGTGGCAACCTAGCTAGTGGTTGTTGACGCCACGTCGGACGCATCGACGCATGGGTCCAGGGTGGCAACCACGGGACGAGCGCGGGGAGAGTACTATGATATACAGCAAATGCAGTTTGGTCAAGAGTTCATATAATTTGTGAAGATTAAGCAAGTGATGGTGTGTGCGTGTGGGTGACATTACCGTGCCCTAATCGTGGTGTGAGGCGAGCAAGCGGTCGCTCTCCACGCCACTCTAATTTCATGCCATTATATTTGGGTTAATCAGTGGGTCCCATGAGTAGATTTTTTTGGGCCTACGTGTAAGGATGTGGTGGTCCGTAACGATTCTGGGGACACCCTCGATCTAGAAGTGTGGCTCCTAACACGCGACCAAACAAACAAGCGGGCCCACCCAGCTGGTGACCTGTTCAAACTTTTTGATGATGTTCGTTTAGCGGGTGAAGATGTTTTCATCGACTATAAGGTGCCTGTGATGAATTCGTCAATCTCAAAATGTTGCGCTGACGAAGTATCTTGGAGGTGCTCATAGGAATAGGGTGTGCGTATACATGGATAAATGTATGTGTGTGTATGTGAGTGAATGTACTGTTAAAAAGAGGTACGAAATAGAATATGAACGGGCAAAGCCTTTTCACGTGCAAATATTATAATTTTGTTCGCATTTTTTCTATTGGTTAATTTTTGTTTGGCACCAACACTTTTATAGGGAAATTTTAGTTTTTGCCAATTTTTTTTATGCCACTCTAGATTTTGATATTTCATTTTTGCCACTCTTAATTTTTGAAAATTATCACAATTGTCATTAACGTGGCAAAAACAAAAAATTTAGAGTGACAATTGTGATACATTTCAAAAGCTAAGAGTGGCAAAAATAAAATAAAATTATTTTGCTTTTGTCACGGAATGCAATTGTGATAATTGTTAAAAGCTAAGAGTGGCAAAAGTGAAATGTCAAAATCTAGAATGGCATAAGAAAATTGGAAAAATCTAGAATGGCAAAAACAAATTACCCCCCCCCCCCTTGTATATTGTCTCGATGAATACAACATCTATGACTATCGGTTTTAGTTGAGTTCAACTTTTAATCATATACCTGAAATTTGGTTCTTCATAAAGATAATTGCGGGTAGCTCTTCATAAGATTTTTACATCAAAGTTTGCAAGTAGAGGTCCCTGTCACGACGCGAGGGGAATCATCCAGTTGGCTAATATTTACATGCCCATGTGAGTGGCATGGTAAGTGTTTTATATTATTCATATTCATACGTGATCTAGGGGTGTGATTAAGTAATGCGTTTGGCATAATCAAACCTCTTGCCGCAATGGAAGGCGGTTGCCTGTCACGTAGCTGTGGGAATTGGTAGATGAAAATATGGATTGATAATTCGAGAAAAAAAAAGTACATATGACTTATTATAGATGATAGTGTATAGTTGTATTAATATTATTGAATAGAAATAGAATAATTGAATGGAAAATATTTTCATGCTGAATATTGTGGTAGATCTTTTCTCATACATGATTGCATGTTGAAATGGGCTTATTCTATTCATAATTATATGATGAGACCGTATGCTTGCATATTGAGATAAATAAGTTAGCAAGGAGTACTCTTTTGGGTTTATAGGATGTCATCATTGGCAGGCTACACGCTTGCTTGTATGTGTGAACCTAAGAGGATCATGTTGAGTTGTTGACGTTACTAATACTAGTTCTT